CTGCATTCTGGTCCCCTCCCTTTCCCACTCTTTTGCGCTGGCTCTCCTTCACTCATTCCTGCTCCCCTCCAGTCAGATCAGTTCCCAGTAGCAACTGCAAAGCACACCTTCCTCTATTCAGCTAACACAGCTGTTCTTATCAGCTTCTTTCTTCTGTTACCTTGTTATCTTTTGCTCCCCCTGCTCAGACCAATAGCTCCTTGTGTGAAATGACATCTGTCTTTGAGTGTCTTGGCACACAAGTGCTTAATAAATATCGGTTGAGTGAGAAGACAGTTCAAATGTCTATCAGACAACACAAGTGAACCATAGACAGTTCTCTCCTAGTCATCAGAAAGCCATAGTTATCAGGGTTCCCAGCTCTCCACTTCAATATGTTTCTAATGGTCATATAGAAAACAGTGCCGATAGGTCATATAAAAAACATCATAGGTGCCTAATCAATGTTTATTGATATTGATTTATTGATGTGGAAATTAGCCAGATACCTCCACCATCTTAGCTTTCAGGAAGCATTTTCCCATCTGGGGAGCTGTTTTTACTCAGGTCCCTCAGGACTTTTATCTGAGAGGCTATTTTCTCTCACATCTCCCAGTCTCTTTGTGTTTCTACCCCTCTTCTACAAACAGAAGTTTCCAAATCCAAAAGGGGCAACATCTTAACCTTTATATGCATCATTTACTTGATGACCTTCTGTTAAGTCAATAGCTCCTTGGCTAATCTGAAACGGTCATGTAATATATAATGTGACTGGGTGACCTGTCTTATTGATGGGGTGATGAGACCTGGACTCCTAAAAGGAAAAGACCATGTCTTTGAAAGCAACACAGTCCCTGAATTTTCCCATGCATTTCAGCAGCCCAGATCACTGACCTCTGCCCAAGGCAACTGGCCCACCCCAGTTTACCTAGACCACCTAATTAGTCTACTTGATATTTCTTTCACTGTAGGAGCTTGTCCAACTCAAACTACTTACTACTCCTTAATCCCATCCAGATCCTTTCACTGTCCTTTTTGTACATAAACATCAGTCTCACTTCCCCCCACCCATGTTGAGTTGCTGGTTCACTAGAAACCCCACTCACTACTATACAATAAACCTCATCATTTGACTGGAAGAAGGTTTGAGTACTGTGAATTCATTCCAGGCAGACACTGCCCTGTCCTGACATTTACCCAAACCACATCATTATTAAAATTAAAAAATTATTATTCAAAATTAACAAGCCAATACATTTGCAAAAGAAATTTAAAACAAATTCTCCCCTGTACCAAGAATCTGAGAACACAGCCTCTGAGGTATAGAATTAAGAGACAGATTTGCTTATTCCCTCCAACAAAGGAGATCACAGCCCACCCATGCTTTCCTATCCTGTGCATCTAGGGTCCAGGTCCTCCCATAAGCACACTGTAAAGCAAACCTTCCAACCCCTATGTGTGGGGTCTGAACCTTACATTTTACCGGTGATGTATAAAAAGTTTGAGAGACATAGTTTTGGGGGTAATTAATCATTTTATTAATCATGCTAACAATAGTTAATAAAAAGGACCAATAATATTCTGGAATGCCAAAGACACCTCATGAAATGCACTCAATGCTTATATGCCCTTGGAAGAGTGGGTGTTCCTGAGGGTGGCAATGAGAAGAATGAATATTATAATGAGAGGTGGACCTATTCTAATGAAGGGCTGGGGATGTGACTTTGATCACTCAGTGCTGGACAAAGAGATTTATCTCTTATCCAAACTAACCCCTCCTAGGGCAATCAAGACAAAAGGGGTCCACCTCTGCTCAGACCTGGCTGAGTGGAACACAGTGGGCCAGAATTCACCTTAGATTAAAATCTTAGGTTCCGTAGTTGGGTGGGACAACTCCCGCTCACAATGAAAAGGGATTTGAGCAATCTCAACCATCAAAAATATCTTCAGATACTGGCTTGGCCTGGTAGAGAATGAGGATCTAGGAAGGGAAAAATTCTAGGTCTCCCCAATATTAACAATTAATTTTAAAAAAAGAGGGGGGGAGGGCAGCTAGGTGGCAGAGTAGAAAGAGCACCGGCCCTAGAGTCAGGAAGACCTGAGTTCAAATCTGGTCTCAGACCAGACACTTGACACTTACTAGCTGTGTGACTTAACCTTGCCAAAAACAAAACAAAACAAAACAAAACAATTCATTATCATTTCTCTCTTATAATTGTAGAGAATTCCCAGTGAGGACACTACTTTTGCCAGAGCAGATACAAAATCATTATGCAAATTCTAGTCTTATGGAGTTGCCTAGGTTTCCTCCTTTCTAGAATGAAGGATTCTTATCTTCTGAGAATCCTTCTAGAACTATGATCCTATGAAATGAGGTCTGTGCAGCACAGAGGTATTTGTGTCATTTTAATTAGTTAATCAACCAGAGTTTGTTTTTTTCTTTTTTTTTAAGATTCATTAATTTATTTATTTTTAGTTTTCAACATTCACTTCCACAAGATTTTGAGTTCCAAATTTTCTCCCCATCTTGTCCCTCCCCCAACCCCAAACCTCAAGACAGCATGCATTCTGAATACCCTTTTCCTTAATCTTCCCTCCCTTCTATCTCCCCCCCTTCTCTTATCTCCTTCCTCTTCTATTTTCCTGAAGGGCAGGATAGATTTCTATACCCCATTGCCTGTATATCTTATTTGAAAACAATTTTTTAACATTTGTTTTTAAAACTTTGGGTTCCAAATTTTCTCCCTTCCTCCCTCCCCACCCACCCTCATCGAGAAGGCAAGGAACTCGACACAGGTTATACTTGTATAGTCATGCAAAACACTTCCAAGGGCATCTAGGTGACACAGTGGATAGAGCACTGGCCCTGGAATCAGGAGGACCTGAGTTCACATCTGGTCTCAGACCAAATACTTGACACTTACTAGCTGTGTGACCCTGGGCAAGTCACTTAACCCCAATTGCCTCACAAAAAACAAAACACTTCCATAGTAGTCATACTGTGGAAAACTAACTATATTTCCCTTCATCCTATCCTGCCCCCCAATATTCTATTCTCTCTTTTGACCCTGTCCCTCCTCAGAAGTGTTTGCTTCTGACTACCCCCTCCCCCAATCTGCCCTCCCCTCTATCATCCCCCTGCTGTCTTATCCCCTTCCTCTGTATTTTCCTGTAGGGTAAGATATCTTTCCATACCCAACTGAATGTGTATGTTACTCTCTTCTTAAGCCAAATCCAATGAGAATAAGATTCACTCATTCCCTCTCACCTTCCCCCGTTTCCCCTCCACTGTAAAAGCCTTTTCTTGTCTATTTTATGTGAGATAATTTACCCCATTCTACCTCTCCCTTTCTCCTTCTCCCACTATAATCCTCTCTCACCCCTTAATTTTATTCTCCAGATATCACCCATTCATCTTCAACTCACCCTGTGCCCTCTATCTATCAATCTATCTATACATATATATACATATATATATATGTATATATATATACTTTTTTCCCTCCAACTACCCTAATACTGACAAAAGTCTCATGAGTTGCAAATATAATCTTTACATGTAGGAATGTAATCAGTTCAACCTTAGTAAGTCCCTAATGATTTCTCTTTCCTGTTTACCTCTTCATGCTTCTCTTGAGTCTTGTATTTGAA